ATAATTTCATAAGCCAAACTCCAAGTATAGAAAAAGAGCATTTGCATTCAAATTACTTTCTTATGTTTTGTTAAAAAACTACAACATTTTTTCAGAGCCTGTAATACTTCCAAAATTTACTTTAAAAACTTCATTATGGAAGATTTCAACCATATCCAAAAGTAGAGAGAGCAATATAATGATGCCAACGTATTCGCTGCAGAGCTTCAATTGCAATCAACGGTGGCTCATTTATACTCTTAGCCCCTGTCCCCCACTGTCACACAATTACACTGACGCGAGTATCAGAGGTCATATCATTCCCTCCTTAAATAATTCAGTACATATTTCTAAAAGATAAGTGATCCTTTTAAAAACGTCCAATCACTCAAGAAATATACCTAAATCTAAGAAAAGAAAGTCAAATGTCAAGGAAAACATTACTTCAAAAGATCTAACACTAAACAAATGAGCTATTTCCCTTCAATAATAAGGAAACAGCAGTCTCTTTTAGCAGAGCGCTAGAGGTCAGGGGCTTTAAGGGGGAAACCCCAGAAAGGTGTGCACAATTTGTAACGTGCATATGAAAATTTTTTTTCTTGGTCTATCAGAATGTCAAACAGCTTGAGACTGAAAACATTTAAAGAACTTCTGCCCTTGGTTATGATTGTGTGATTGTGCCAATCACCTCCCTGTGCTGGGAAGAATTAGTCAAGCAGCGGAACAAATCCACCTAAAATAACTTAGAGATCAAACTGAATTCAACTCAGCAGTTACTGAGCATACAGTAGCTGCAAGACAGGAGTTACACTGTTGATAAACAAAGGTAAATTAGTCTAGTTAACTTAGAGTCTAGAAGGAGAAGACGTCCAATAGGTGAATATAGCTATAATAGAATGTCATGAAAAAGGTGCCTGCTGTAGGTATTTTCATGGGGATCCAAATGAAAAAGCAATGATGTTACCTGGGGGGCAGGGGGAGCACCAGGGGTCATAAGATAGGAGAGAACTGCAGAGAAGGTCAAGAATTATACCATCAATTCCTGTCTGAAGATCCTCCTTAGCCCCCTAGCTGAGGGACATGAATCAATATGTTCACTGGTGTCTGTACCCCCCTCACTGGATGGGGTGGGAGAGGTGATTATGAAACTGGAGAGAAGAGGTTACATGTAAGTAGCATTTTGAAAATGGAACAGTCCTTCAGATCTGGAGAGGAGAGAGACTCACTGAAGAGGGAAGGGAGGTCATTCCAGGAAGAGAAAGGCAGGAACAAATGGGTGGAAATTACTGGCATGTCAGGGAACCAGCAGTGTGGTGACTTTACAGCAGAGTGTGTGGGTGGGGCTGGCTGACTGGAAATGCCTGCTGGGACCAGAGCTGGAGCCTTCCAGGCCAGAACTGAGCCATCACAGGTTTTAACTGAATCAGTTCTGCCTTTACAGAGTACGTCTCACTCTTGGGTGCCTGATGGATGCCCAATGTTTACTGAACTGGTGGTGCCCTGAATTAGGTGGATGGGGTAAGATAAGTATTATTAAATACTCAATAAGTAGTAGTTACTTAGGAGTCAATTGCAATAGGCCAGGAGAGGTCTAGAGTGACAGTTGTAGAAAAGAGACGAGGGGACATTTCAGAAATTTTAGAAATCATTATTTTTAAAAAGTGAAAAAAGAAAAGAAACAGAAGAGAGACTAAAGCATCATACAAATTCCATTACACAGTGTGGAACAGTGTTAGTATAATCCCATTTCTGCACAAAAAAAAAAAAGTGGAAGTATATATATATAAGCTATAAACACATAAAATATCACAGGAAGGGTGTGAGAAATAGATATCACTGATTGTAGGGCATGGAAAAGGGATTGGGAGAGAGGTAGGAGAGAGACTTTAGTCCTTTTGGTGTGCTAACCACATGATTTTCTATCAGCTAGTTAGAAGAACATAGAATTTCTTCCTTACTGTCAGCCACACAGGCAGAAAATGCGGAAAAGAGAAAAGGTTTCGGAGAGAGATCTGGGTTCATTCTAGCTCTGACTCTTCCTAACTGTGGGGCATGGACAAATTAATTTCTTTTAGTTTCTGTCCTCTTATTTGCAGAGAGAGAGATAATATTGGCTAATCGCTGGGTCGCTGTAACAACAGTTAAAATAATCCTATACAAAGCATCTGGTAGAATACCTGGCAGAGACTAAATAAATAGTAAGTAGTAGCTATTTTATTATCAAGAAAACTTCTTTAACGTAAATACCTTCTTAGTATAAGAAAAGTTCCTCAATCTAGTTTAAGGTATGCTCATTAGCTAATCTTATTCCTACATTAAATATTTACACTGTACAAAACGACTAATGTAATCCATCTGATGAACACTATCCATTACGTATCTGTTTCTAGAAATTTAAACTTAACATTATTTATCTGCATTTCTAGATAGATGTTAATTTTTGTCTTTAAATGCCATTGACTCTGTATTTGCTGAAGTCATGTATGCACAGAGGACTACTAAATACAAACCAGGTGCTACAAGGTACGAAGAAAGAATAGTAAGTTGCTATCCTCAAGGAACTGACAACTTCAGTGAGACAAACAGGTGTGACCTTCAAGTAACCATGGCCCAGATCTGGCAGAAGAGATGGAAATACTGGCAATGAAGTACCCAATTCTGGCCATGCATTTGCTGTAAGATGTTAAGTCACATGTTAGGGGAAGTTAACTCTGCAAACATTTTTTTAGGTGAGTTTTCTTAGGTGGGTTTCTTCTGTACAATACTATGCTTAAAATCAATTAAGACCAGTAGCAGCAACAGCATCCTAAGTGTTACAAAAGATTGGTCACTCTCAAAAGTCTTACTACTACACTTTGAACAGTCCCATCATTATTAAAGCATCATCAAACAAAAGTTCCTTTGTTATACACTGAGATGAATAATTTCAAACCATTTTCACGTGAGATGTTCTGGCTCAGATCTGCCCCAGCCTGGAAAATGAAGATTTCGAAAAGAAAATAGCTGGGGTTTTAAGAAAGATTTTTGTTAAAGGCAGGAAATAGTGATGAACATCTTCCAGGATTTCAGAAGTATTGGTGAATGCTTAAAAACAAACAAACAAACAAAAAAACCCCTACAAAGGCCTAAAGCCAGAGGAAAATGCATTTCACTTCATACACAGCACTGTGGGGAGAGAAAGAGTGGTGGGGCATGCACAACAAAAACCAGCCAGGTCATTATTCAAATATTTCTCTATGAAGCAGACGCGTCTTGGGAGAAACATCCATACGAGTCTGTTGAGAAACAACAGTATAACGTGCACAGCGCTTTCTACGGCAGCTTTTATGGATGCTGTAAATACGTTACGGATGCACCTCGGAAAGATGACTTACTTCCCACGAGCCAGGCTCGCTGCCGAGCCCAAGAAGGTACACGCTGGTCCTTACCCCCTAGCTAGCTAGCCTATGGCTACATATTGCAGCAGCAGGTTGGATATTAAGAGGCTAATCGAAAGCCACCTATGAGCAGCAACACCAATTTAATCTCTGCCCTCCGCCTCTCCCCTCCCTCTTTCCATAAATCTCCAGATCGGAGTTGCAAAGAGACCGGGAACTCCAGCCGAGCGGCGAGGCCCTCCCTCCCCGCCCACTGGGTCCTCTCCCGGGCACGAAGTACTAGTCAAGCGTAAACTGCTCCCAAACATCCTCAGCAGGCTCCGCCGGGCGAGTGAGACCCGGTTTTCTCCCCGGGCTTCCAGAGGGGCCGGCAGGGATGACAAGTGGCGCGCGCGCGCACGGGGGCGGC